ATAAGTTTAAAAAAACACCTTAAAGACTTTTAGATTTTTTAATGTGAAATCTCATGGGCATGGTCTGACTTCATCAGACATAAGAGCTCATGGTGCCTGTTGTTGCCTTTGGAACATGCATGTGTCTCACCCTTGTTGTAGAACAAACATAAACTTATCACAGGTAACACTGCTACTGGTGAATTGCTCTTTCTAAGTGCTTGTTCCCCTGTCAACTGCTATTATCTAGCACTCTTTCATTTTAGTGTGGGATATTAAAGGGAAGCCAGCTATTCCCTCACTGGATGAACCTACAAATGACTCTTCTTGGACAGTTCTATGGGAGGTTTTCCCACACATCAAAGGAGCATGTGCTTTTTTCCTATTTTTTTTTCTTTTGCCATTCCTTCCCACCATCAAACTCTTTCATCTTTTCTGGATCAAAGAAAGTGTGTGAGCTTGATGTTCATAAATAGATCCCCAGTTACAGGGTTGTCTTTGCAAATGAAGAGCAAAGCATTGATTGAGCGGATGCATTACAGAAGGACTGGAATCAAGGGGGCAGATGTCTTTTACAGTGGGGTTAAACTTAATTTTCATAGGAAAGAGAAAGCAATTCTCCCTCCATCATCAGAGCTTTGAAGGAAATTATTACAAAGAACTAATTTATTGTACTTAACTCCCTTTCCCAAGAACAAAGACATAACTACATTACATTATAATTCTTATTAGAGTTAATGTCTCTCCTCTAGCAGTATAGCTATCTTTTAAAATGTAGTTACTTTTATATTTATGAGGGTATAGCTTCACTCAGCAGTGGAAAAGGAATACTGTACTGAGAATGGGGAGGTAAAGAGTTACTTATACATTGCAAATGTGACATTAACTATCTTGGAAGCTGCAGTTTGGAATTATAAATGTAATTAGTATTTAAAAATAAGCATCCAAGTTCTGTTGCTCATTTTTGTTTAAGCTGTGTAACATGAGTGTATTTTGGATATCTTGAAGAGGTTGGTCCACTCAGAGGTTTTTATGATGTAAACTTCATAATAATCTGATGGAAATTTCAGTACCTCACCCACCAGAACTGGAAATCAGGGATCATGCCTCTTCTTGTATGTGACATAAACACACAGCCCTGTTGTCAAATCACTGGGATTTACAAGTGATTAATCAAATACGTTTAGTACTAGTTTGCCTCTGTGCAGATTGCAATAAATCAAACCCATTCAACAGATGCTTATGCTAACATGAATCCACAAGCTCAAAATATCCACCACATCAGCGGAATATCCATCAAATATTGCTACGGGAGTGTGTGAGTGAAGAAGAGTCTCCAGACTCAGCCCAAGACATTTTACTGCATCAAGGAAAAGACAAAATGAAGACCTGCCCTTCATTCCAAATCCTGACAGCAAACTGAACCAATTGGGAGGCTGACGACCTGGCAAACCCACCCTGGGCAGGAGGTCTCAGCTAAGTCAAAGGATAGGTTGCCCCTACATCTTCTCACCCTCGAGATAAACATATAGCCAAGGTGATTTACCACTGGTGGCATCTGTGCTTTACTTCTCCCTTCACTGTACAGAAGTCAAATCTCGAGAATACAGCACATAATTTATGGATGCTACTCAGTATCTCTGGATAAAGGAACGTGGATATCCACTGAAGCAATGCTGGCTGGAGACCGGGCCCTCAGGACTGAAGCACTGAGACTTCCTAATGAACAGAGATGATGTTGCCATCTTTCCCATTTCCAATTTCCTTCTTCCTTCTGAGATTTGTGAGTGATTCCGTTAGTAACACAATGTATTTTGAGGTGGCAAACATATTTTATTTTAATTTTTTTATTTTATTTATTTATTGTATTTATACCCCGCCTATCTAGTCATTTCGACCACTCACATACCCCCTCACACAAAAATCAATACAGCTCCTTATGTTTTCAGACTCTTATCTGGTGGCATGGCTCTGGTAATGGCACAGACACCCTACTGCATTCCTGATTGCTTTGTTCTTGTGAACCCCATTACCTGAGCAAGCATAGTGGTTGGAACTATCTTACCCAAAGGCAGAGAATGGAGGATTTGATTACTGAAATTTTTCAGCACTACAGATTGCAGAGAGAGAAGTCTCTCAGGCTGGGCATGGCATGGTTTATTTGCGTAAAGCTAAGGGTGGAGAATTCAATTAGCAAGGCAAGGAAGATTGTAATCGTATGACAACATAACCATTTCCTAAGAGCTCAAGAAGTAAATATTTATTTTAGCAGTTGATCAATGGATGTAATTTTTTTTTAAAGGAATGTGCTATATTGACTTTGTTATGTACCATCAGGTTACTTTGATGGTGGTTCTAAAAGGTAATGGGGGTAGACTGGGTTAGCATGTTGGGCCAAATCAAAACAAAGTGAAAAAATAAAGAAAACTAAAACATTGCAGCACCTTAAAGACTAACTGCTGTATTTTAATGTCTGAAGTGGATTTGTCCACAAATGTTCACATTAAAATACAGGACTTAGTCTTTAAGGTGCCACAGCATTTTTGTTTTTATTTTTTCCAAGGTATATGAGATGTTCAAGAAGTGGTTTACCACTGCTAGCTCCCGTGAGTTTCCACTGAAACAACATATCCTGATTCCTAGTCCAACCTCTATCTACTACTGTATATCACACAGTCTCTTTTAACACCTATAGAGAATTCTGAATGAATGCAATCTGAGCAAACTGATTACTCTCATCTACTTTTCATGTGTCACCCAGTCCTATTAACTGACTCCCAAACTGTATAGGAACATAAGAAGCTGCTTTATACCAGGGCCATCTAACTCAATATTGTTAAAGATTTCCCTGGTTTCCTGACCTCACGTTTCCGGTTCTATCTCCAGATTGATATTAGATCCAAAGTCAGATAAAATGTTGTTAGATGTAACAGTGGTGAAATGAACCCACTGAGGCCTATAGTTTTGGCTCCAGGTTTGTTTTCCTGGTCATACTGAGATGGGTGTGTCAAACACTGTTTGGAGGGTGTCCTACTGGGGACTTCGGCTCCAAGTTATAAAGACGACTAACTACAAATCTAAGTCTGGAGATAGTAATGCATGATTAGCTGAAAATAAAACTGAAAAATATCTGATTGGTGCTAAGGAAGAGGTGAGGGGAAGAGTCTAGAAGCCTGGATTCTGTTCATATCATTAGTTATCATGATGGGTTTGGGAGCTGTACATTTTGGGGATGAAGCACTTCCACTTCAGTCCACAAACTGCTCCTGGTTCACACAACTTCAACCAGAATTTAGTTCTATATCTAAGCCCACCCTGATTGTGAGTACCCTGGTTCCATATATCTTTGTGTTTGCTTTCTTTTGGTTTGCTAAATATAGTAAGTTGCTTTTAACTTATTTAGCGCTATTATTAAAATGTAATGAAAACTTGCAAATCTTCTAATACAGTTCTGAAAAGCATTAATCTTCTCAAAGTGTTTTTAGAGCTTTGTAAATGAGTCTTGGCCAGAGTACCAACAGTTTGATGTTTATTCACAGTTATCTTGATGTTTAGATGTTTTCATGGATATTCTGAACCATCTAGTCTTTCCCCTTTCTCAAGTATAATGTGTTAATAGCTGCATACAGGATTTCTGGCATATTTATCTTTAACATGAAAAATATAGATATATTTAGAGGTGTAGAGTGTTAGCTATAATGTGGATCAAATCAGCTTTTGTAAAACTAATGCTGGTATTTAGCAGCAGAAAATGGCAAAGGATTATACTAATTCTTCTTGGCGGCTGGTTTTGCATAACTCTGTTCATCTATTAAGATTTCCATGGGTTGCCAGCCTGCCAGGATTTTGAAGATCCGTGCAGCAAAACAAAAAAGAACAGGGTACTCTGTTAAATAACAAGCACTGAAGTCCAAGTGTGAAACCGGAAGATGGTGGAAGACTGTGAAGTACAGAACTGTTTTTCCTACTGGTTCAAAGCTGCTGTGGGACGAGGCTAGGATTTTCTTCAGTAAAATGGAGCACAACAAAAAGGGTTACAGTCTAGCCACAAGCATCTCCAAATTCCTCAGAGACAAATCTCAGAGTGAAGAAGAGAGCTTGATTTTGTTGTGTGAGATGACTTACAATCCAGACATTAGCCATCTCCTCCCATACCCAGTTAGTGCCAGCAAGGGCACAGCATGCCTTAGGCAGTTCCAGCCTTTGCTTGCCATGCTCTAAGATGTAAAAAGGGTCTGATCCTACGACATCACAAGAGACCACAGGTTGTGGTCACAAAATTGCAGAGGATGGGATGTTGTTGACCTGGCAATCCCCTCTGACACAACACAGTTTCTGCTTGCTTCCATAGTTCTGACAAACCTCTTTCATGGCTGAGGTTCAAGGTCACTTCAAGCTTTGCAGCTACTCCTATTTTAGCTGTTTAAAAAGGCATTCAGAGTTGGTGTCACCTATCGGCTATATAGCTGAGCTATGAAACCAAACAGGCCCAGTTTCAATCTGGCCTCTGCAGTGAACTCATGAAATGGCCTAAAAACAATTCTTTCTCTTCTTCTTCCTTTCTGCCATCTGCAATAGGGAAAAAATAGGGAGGGGGGAGCTGGCAGATTCTGAGAGTTGTAGTCCAAAAGGTAAATTTTCTAAGCCCTGGATATAGAGCAAAGTAGTTATTGCAGCAACAGTGGGAAACAGATGGCCGTTGAGATGTTCTTGGAGTACAGTTATCAGCCCTAGTGAACATCTCCAAAGGTGGGAGATAATTGGAAATCAAGTTCAACAACACATGGAGAGTCTCAAGTTCCTCACCTGTCTCACTGGGTTGTTGCAAGAACTGCAACTAAATAATAAATACAACTTGCTTTAAACATTCTAGAGATGTTAAAGATCTGCCTGTCCCACTGCTTACAAGCCTTTACCACATCTAAAGATAACATATCACAAATAGCTGAAAAATCATATTTTCTTCCAGGGATTTAGAAGACGGACTCTCGAATGATTGACAGGTAACCTTTAAGGGTCAAGAAGGAACCATGTCAGTGCCATTCAAAAAAGAGTTAGAGAAATACAAGAACATCAATGAAGATGAAATTCTCAGCAAACTTTCTGAGGATGAACTAAAACAGCTCGAAAGTGTACTTGATGATCTGGATCCAGAGGTGTGTATTACAAGACCATGATTGATTTCTAGCTTGCAGCACCGCACACTGACCTTTTCATGAAACTTGAATTTAAACATATAAAATGAACACAAAAGCTAAAATCTTGTTGGTGTAACTATACCTGTGAAAGACTGATGACATCACTGGCAGAGGGAGATTTTCAGTAATCAAAAACTTCTGTCTTTCCATGGCTTGCTTACGTTGCAAATAATCTGTTTATTTGGGTTGAAGCTGTAGGGCACAAAGAAGTTCTTGATTATTGAAACACACTTCTGCCCAATAGTATTACCAGGAGGGGCAGATTTTCAGTAATCAATGAGTTCTTATTCATGCTATGCAGCTCCCATGACTTTGAACTAAATCCAGTTATCAGTTCCAACTAGAATAGGCCCATTGAATGAATGGGACTCTTTAGCTCCATATTTAAGTAAATCCTACAAAATCGATGGGTCTGCTCTTGTTGGACTCACAATTGCCCTTAGTGCTTTGTGGGGGGACATACTTTGGGGTAACAATGGCAACTAAGTTCCTCTACAGCTGCATTCTGGTGTCAGCCAAACCGTTACGACGGAATAGCCTAGCTGTTGCACCATCCTAGGGCATTCTGAGGGAGAACTGACGGACCTTACTGTTAGATTCCACTCCTCTTCCACTCCAAATGTCCAACACATAATATATAGAACTGTGCCCCTCTCTGAGCTCTACTACCAGTAGGAATTTTGGAGGATGGAGGGAGGCAAAACAAGAAAAAACAAAAACACTGCTCTGAATGCCTATGCTGAACTTCCTTTCAAAAATCACCTATCGCACCTGCCATGTTGCTTTCCCATTTAGTTTCTAAACAGCCTAGTGTCTAGGGCATTGTGTGAAATGAAGATAATAGTTGTCTCCTCAAGTTAGCAAACTGGTATTGACTGGGATAGAACCATCTGACACTATATTTTCACATCTTGAATTTTTGCATGTTTATTGGTTCTATTGTTTTAAAATTTTGTAATGCCACCCAGAGTAGACAATTGGTCTAGATGGGCAGGTTATAAATCTAATAAAATAAAATAAAATATCTGTAATGGGTGGCAGCTCAATGGAGGTAATTTATCAAGAGCTCTATCAAACCTAATTATCTCACTATTAAGATAATTACTTATTTACTTATTTTTAAACTGAGTGTATGTTATGTAAGAAATTATACATGAGCCGCTGTCTAGACAGGCATTGTGGATTGACTATATATCTATATCCATATCTATATATCTTTACCTGCGTACTATTTCTCCAGACGAGTTTATAAGGAATAATATACGTGACCTAAATGACGTATATCCAGTGTGACTATTCTCCTTCCTTATTCTTTCTCCGAATCAAAGAAACAGGAATTTTCTACTAAGCAAATAAAAAAATCCCAAGGAAACATTCCCCAATAATAATCCCTATTATGATCAGATACTGAATAACTTCCTCCATCTCTCCTATCTCCCCTTTGGCAGAATGCACTTTTGCCTGCTGGCTTCCGACAGAAGGATCAGACCAGTAAACCAGCCACAGGACCATATGACAGAGAGCGTCTGTTGTCCTACCTGGAGAAACAAGCACTGGAGCACAAGGACAGAGACGACTATGTGCCCTTCACAGGAGAAAAGAAAGGTAACTGTTTTCTCTTCAGGAGTGAATCAAATAAGGAGATTGATGTATAGAAGAATTTATTCTAAATGTGTAGTCTCTTGGTGTCATCAACCTGGCACAGAAATATCAAGCCAATTTACAGCATTTAAAATATGATTTGCAAAATCCCTTCTAGCTCTTTGTCATGGTCTTCTCTTTAGAACAAAAGCTGTTTTGTCTTAGCTGTCTTTGTTGGCTTCAACTATGACATTTAATAAGAGCAGACCAGAGTCTGAAAAAAATCATTTATTTATTTATTTTCAGACTACAACATCCAGAATCTTCCTGCCAGAATGGGATTATGAGAGGATTCTGGCAATTTTAGTTAAAAAAATACAACTTTCCCAAGATCTGGAGCAAGTTTGAGAAACTTGTGCTCCATGAGCCACACAAAGGCTACCAGTAGCATATGGGATCCAGACAGGGAATTTGCTAGATTCCCGTCCAGTGTTGGGGGAGGGCAGGGTGGAGAAAATAAGGTTCCTTGTGGCCACAATGCAATGTATTTCATTAGGCTAAAAGCTACACAGACCAGGGCATGATCTGAGGTGGAAAGCATCAATAAGTCTGTGTTTTGTAACACCTGGGCTTCATGCTCTGGAGAGGACACTCCTCAATTCAGAGCATGTTACCATAGTCTTTCGAGACTGAAGGATGCCTATATATGTATATGTTCAGTTCAGTATATTTTTTCTTCACACCCACCTTTCCCTAGTATGTATTCAAAACAGCTGGGTTTTCAAAATACTCTTGGTGAATATTTGAAAATCCCTTTGAAAGCCCATGGATTAATCACTTTTCAGCATCCTCTTTTCCCTTGTTTCAGGGTTCATCGGAAATGCTCTCAGTCAGGTAAATTTCAAACAAGGTAAAAGGAGATGAATCCTAATATATTAGGCTGTCTCCAACCAACAGTGTGACCCAAACAAAAAATGTGGAGCCAGTTTAAGTGACTTGCTTCCTCAGGCAAAGTTTGCTACCTTGCTCCAGCCATGACAGCATTACTAGTCAGACTGGAGAAGTTGGTTTTTTCAAGCTTTCTGAGATGGAGTCTTACCTAGTTCCTTCATCTACCCTTCTGAGCAGTATGTCTCCTGCAAAGTCCATGTTGCTGCTGCTACTATGATAACCCATTGCTGCACAAATCAGTTCAGGAGTGGGAAACCCTCCAAGTCATTACACAAGATGAGCTTTTTCATTCAAAGCTGGCAAAAAGTTACAATCATTGCATAAGGGTCAGGCATGAGCTTTGCTGGCGGGACATCCAAGCTATGTGGTGTTCCTGACCACAGTCTTTATGTTGGCAGACCCCGCTGCATAAATGCTTGGGGGATGATGATTATTTGGAAAGCTTAGCAGCCCAATTCTCCTTGGAACAGAGCTGTCTGGTAGACTCAGTCACTAAAAAGAAGTAGAGACAGGCATTATAGGAAAAAGGAACCATGTTGACTGACAATCACCCGCTAGGTTCACTAGGAAAGCTAATAAACAGGTGAATAGAAAGAGACAGTTTCAGACCAGCTGTCCTTCAGTCATCTAGACAGAGAAGGAACAGTGATACTGGTGGAAACAGAAGCCTACATAAATCCACTGTTATAAATAACCCCCTTCCCATTTTCAGATGGCATATTTTTCAGAGAGAGTGCCAGTTTTTCAAAGGGTTGGAAGATGGAAAGCAAGATGGAAAGAATACCGGAGGTGTGATATTAAATCTAATCTTTCTAATTCTTCCTAGAAATGCCTGTGTCGGTTAGTTGCTTCTCACTTTCTCAATCTAACGTCACTCCTTCCCTTTGGTTTAACACAGATTACATCACTAGGGAACTTGTGAACAAAAAGCTGGCTCGAAGATGAAAATTCAGCGGCTGGGGGTAGTTCTTCCCATATGTTCAAGCCAGGAGTATGGTTTTGATTATGTTGTGGAATATGCTGGAGAGGCATGATGGGCGGGGGAGGATATTGAGCAGAGAAAAGAAGGAATGAATTCCAAGATCTTATTGGGAGATGGGAGAATCAGGAAAGAATCTGATGCCTGCTTTATCAGCTGCCTACCTCTTCTTAGGGAGGACTATTTCACATTTGTTGAGAACTGTAGCTTCTTGACAGGAAAAATAAATGATTTTGTTGGAGGAGAGCTTAACAGTTACTCTGGACTGCCAGAAAGATGAACAAGTGAGTCCTAGATCAAATCAAGCCTGAGCTATCTCATGCTGGGAAGGGTGGAAGGCAAAAAGAAAAGACCAAATACAAGACAGACTGCCTGCCTAATGGAAGTCAGCCACCTGGGATCCCTCATATCATTGTTTTGTAGTTTCCTGTCTTTTGCACACATGCATACACACTCATTCTTAGTCACTGGCAGAAAGAGCTGCAAGTTCACATGTGCTCGTATTTCAGGCTCCTCCTGTTAGCACTGACACTGCCCCTCACTAGAAGAGGGCCCTTGAGAACTTGCATGTGGCCCTTGACCTGAAAGAGGTTTCCAGCTGCAATGAGGCAAGGAGCAGGAACAAGCACATTGGGCCCTGTCCCCATGCCATGCACAGTTCCTCACAGTTCCTATTGCCTTATGAACATCTGGAGTAGGATGCCTTTTCTATTCATGTGTGTGATTTTGCACCCTGGGCAATGAGGGTTCTAAGTCATTTGGGTGGCTTCTTTGTGCATAGAAAGAGTCCTTTAACTCAGGGGTCCCCAACCTTGGGCCTCCGGATGTTCTTGGACTTCAACTCCCAGAAATCCTGGCCAGCAGAGGTGGTGGTGAAGGCTTCTGGGAGTTGTAGTTCAAGAACATCTGGAGGCCAAGGTTGGGGGCCACTGCCTTAACTGATGAGGTGACCTATGTGCCTGTATAGGAGAGGATGTAGCCAACACATTCATTCCAGTGGTTGGGAAGTTACTTTTCTAAAATAATTCATTATGTAACCATTATAAAGCTGCTCAAAAGTAATATGTTTTGGGCCAGTTACTCTGTTTCTCAACATAGCCTGCCTCACAATGTTGTTGTTCTAAAATGGAAGAGAAGGAAGGATGCATCACACTAAGTTCCTCGGAGGATGGCTTGAATAACAAAAATAATGAAGATGGGGAAGCCCTCATGCCTGAATGATAAAGACATGAATAACTGTACACGTTGCTAGGCATTAAAAATGGAAAGATGGTTGTGCTTATGGGGAGGTGCATTAGAACTGATGAATTCCTTTGGGAGTCATCACTGCCTTGCCAGCTCCTAAGTCTGGAAATTATGAATCACCTCCCTAAAAATAATACAAGCAGCTAAATATCATGAGCTGAAATCAATCAAGTATGCTTGATTTGGCTTTTTTGAAGAGGATGGGAGGCCATGTGCTGGGCAGGCGGTAGTTGCATCCTCCACTGCTGCTCTAGCATTAAGCAGGGGATAGCGCCAGTGACCTGAGATAAGCAGCTGGTGAGTTTCTTTCACACCTCCAGTGTCTTTCATTTCCTTTATACTTGGTATCTATTTCTGTATTTAGTTTGAGGGGAAATCATTATTTTAGCTTAATCCCAATACAAAACACATGTGAGTTGCTCTGTGGGATGGAGAGTGCATGGAATTACAGCTATCAATGCACAATAATAGATGGTGTGGGAACAGTTCTTCAGAACATGACTAAAAACAAAACAAAACAAAAAAAACCAGGCTGCTGAACAGTGGAATGTTCCTACAAAGAGAAACTTCTTGTAGAGGTGCCAGAATCTTGGAAAAGTCTTTTCAATAATTTGGCTCATCACATGGAAATTGAAATAATTTGGCTTATCACAAGGCACTCAGCCTTGTCCTACCTCTGCTATCTTCCAAATCAGCAGAGATGATGTTGGTGGAAGAAGCCAGGTCAAGATATACTGTAATGTTATAATGTGCTTGAAAAGCTGCATTGTTAGAACCCAGATAGATAGTCCTTTGTACAAGGATAAAAATATATGACTGCTGAAGGCATTTAAAAAGGAGTTTTAAGAAGGAAGTAGAAAGATGGCATCTCTTGGAAATCTAAAAGTAATAACTGAGTGGGGGAAGGAGATCAGTAATGCTCCAGGCTACAGTTTCTATTGCTCCTGACAGCTGGAGAGACGGAGAGAGAAATCTAACATCTGGAAGATCACAGGACCCTCACTTTGCATTACAGTGATAGTTGTGTTGCCACTATTGTATTTAATTATCCTCTTCCCTTTTTTTTAAAGGAAAGGTGTTTGTACCTAAAGAGACACCAAGAGAAACTCACACAGAGGAAAAAGTGACTCTGGATCCAGAACTGGAAGAAGCCTTGGCCAGTGCCTCTGATACTGAGCTGTATGATCTCGCAGGTTTGTTGCTCTCTTAAAACAGACACTTCCCTCTCTCCTCTCCCCTGGCCGCCATTTCTGTTTAGCAACTGTCTAGCTGTTTGACTTGCCCCAGTGGGCACCACCCGATTCCTTGCTCCATTTTCTTTGCAAGCCCACCTCAACCTTTGATTGTCTCCATGTGTTCCCAATTTGCTGTTTGAGCAAGTGAGGTGCATGCATCCAGAGGTCTTGGGTTTATGCAGATGCAATATATGGTGTTTCACTAGTTCACTTTGACCTCTCTCCTTTTGACAGAATCACAGAGTTGAAAAGGAGTGCAAAAGGGACCTAGTATCACCCTCTCCCAATGTAGGAATCCACAGTAAAAACCTTCCTGAAAGATGGCCCTCCAACCTCTGCTTAAAAATCTCTGACACCATCTTCTGAGGCACTTAGTTCTTGTCATTTCAAACCATCTGTTTAAGACTTACCCTTTCAAGCAGCAGAAAACAAGCTCCCTCAACCATTCCTTTTCAGTACATATTTCAGCTTGTCTATATCCTCCTTCAACTGGTCTAATCAGAACTGGACACAGTTTTGAACCAAGAAGGTCTGCTGTCTGCTAAGAGGAAGCCAGGGCACTTTGTCACAGAGGACAGGAGAACACTCTGCTGCTAGAATACACTAGGGAGGAATGAGCTCCTGCAGTGGTCATATTCACAGGAACTAATAAATCACTCCAGCAAAATATTTCCACACATATTCACTATCAAACTAAGTAATACTTGAACAGGTAATGCAAGTATCCAGGCTCTGGTACTATATCTTACATCCTATACCACTAACACTGTATGTCACAACTTTTACAGACCAAACTGAGCCACAAAAGGGGGCTATATTGCCCTGGGCTGCATCACAAGCTGACTTGGGACTTGGTCAACTGACCTCAAGAGCCCACCTGACTCTACCAAGCCAATCAATTAGTTAATCAATCAATCAAACAAACAAACAAACAAAACCATCACTACCTGATTTTCAGCCTGTGCAACTTGTTTCATGGGGCAAGAATGTTTCAAAGTATTCACGTCTGCTGGTGGCTTTTGTTTTTCTTTTGGTGCTGCTAGCTGTCCTTGGGGTCCACAACATGGTCAATAATCCAAAGTTTGACGAGGGAACCATTGGGAAAGATGGCAAAGGAACTGTGAAAAGTAAGTAGACACATATCCCCTTGGCTTCCAAACCAAGCAGAGACCACAGGGGGCAACTTGCTTTTGTTCTGTACTTGGTCACCAGAGAGACAGCAGGACATCAGATGTCTTAATGGCTTGGGCACAAACCATTAAAAAATTCCACATTTGGAGGGAATACTATATGAAGTGGAAATAGGTATTTGCCTATTCATGCATTAGAATGAGATGACAGAACTCTTGGGTTGCTAAGATTTTTCAGATATTTGATATAGGAGCAATACCGTCTGTAATGCCCTCCCCACTACACCCTTCCTGGAGAACATTCTGCAAATAAGATCCAAATGTACACACTGGGACTCTGTATTATGTTATGTTTAATTTCCTCTTCAATTTCCAGTGAGGGTAGCATGTGAAAAAAAATGTTATCTTTCCCATCAGCAATCTTAAAGAAGTGCAATCCTCTTTACTGCTTCCTTACTCTAATCCTGCTGCCTGTACAGAGTAGGTCTCAGTGTAACACATTCTTGAGTTGCTCTTACTTTTGTGTAAACATGGATAGGATTGCACCACAGTCTCATTAACTTCATTCTACCTCTCTTTGGATCTGGGCTTGTGTGTATTAGTGAGTGCTCTGTACAAGATTAATCTTAATTCCAGTTGCCTTCCCACATTTATGATGCAGATGCCCATGGGAGAGAAAGTCCATACATTTAATCCTGCCTTGAGGCTGGGCTTTTTTTTTTTTTTTTTGCTTTCCCAGCTAGAAGCAAGTATTTTGTAATTATAAAACTGCATACGTTGCTAATTCATGTCCCTCTGTGATTATTTTTATTATTTTGCAAAACTCTATCATTTCAGCTTAGTGGGTGTGCTGAGCATGAATTAGCCACTAGGAATTTGCTCTGTCAGACAACTTTGTTCCAAAAACAATATTTTTCCCAAGCTAGTTGTATTAGTAGTTTGCTTGTTTGTTTTTTTTTAATTTGAAGCAAATCAGGTGGGAAGGAATGCATTCCACGAGTCCTGGGACAAAAGAAATAAGATTTAAGACATAGCAGACCAGGAGGGGCTACACAAGAGGAGGACAGAGAAGAGGAAGCAGCATATTGCAGCGGCTGGATTAGGGGAGACCTTGCTTCAGTACCACCCCTACCCCCATTTCTACAGCTCCCTCAATGAGGGTTTGAATAATGTACTCTTAAACCAGGGGGAGAGGGAGATGTTCAGGTGTTTTTTTTTTAATGTAAGAAATGTTGATAAGCTTTCAAATCCTGCCAAATAAATAAGAGCCACAGCTATTTTGAAACATAGTTGAAAAGTTATTTCAGGATGATGGTTGTTGTGGATTTTTCGGGCTCTTTGATTGTGTTCTGAAGGTTGTTCTTCCTAACGTTTTGCTCATCTCTGTGGCCAGCATCTTCAGAGGACAGAACTCACAACAACCATCAGATCCTGGCTAGGAAAGCTTTTGAGATACATTTCAGGATGACTTAAACTCAGAATAAATTAACCTCTAGTAAATACTAGAATTTTTTTTAATTTTACTGTATGTGCATTTGGTATATACCTGGTGCTCTAAAGTCCTAAGCAAACCAGAACTCAAAGAGGTTAGCTACTCACTCCTTGTCAGATCACTCCCCCTTTGATCCCAGGGCACAGATAGATACCTTGCACCTACAATGGATTCATACAAGAAAACTGGCACTCATTCCCATTTTTCCCCATTGAAGAGAGACATCTGTCCTATATCCTATTTAAGAGCCGGCCAAGGTCTGACATTCTAGAGCTGGCCAAAACCAACTCAACTGAACCAAAAGATCCTATAAGCACAAGAACCTTGGTGTCTGTTTGGTCTGATTCCAGCCCTGGGAGAGGCCACCAGGGCCCAGAAGCTCCAGTGTTCTGGGAGCTGGTATGCCAGAGACAGAAGGTACAGTACTTCTGGAGAGGTGACAAAGTGCTAGACTTTAGATTAAGGAGTTGGGTGGGGTAAAAGTATTTTAAATCAATCCATCCATCCATCCTATGCCTTCTACCCCACAGATGTGGTCAAGGGTGAAAAAGTCAAGCCAGTTTTTGAGGAACCACCTAATCCAACAAATGTCGAAGCCACACTGCAGAGGATTAAAGCAAATGATCCTACACTTCTGGAAGTTAATCTGAATAACATAAAGGTATTCCTGTCAATGTTCCTCGTTTCATTATCCCATTGCTACATGATGGATATTTGAAAACTATCTCTAGGCCATTGAAATTTATTTTCTAAAGCATTTCTATGATGAAAGGGAAGAGCAGATACAGAGAGCCCCTTTAAATGTTCAACAGACCATGTGTGAGCACACAAGGGTTGGATGTCTGACTGCTCCCCAACATTAAAATTGTCTAGTGTGAGTGAAGTTAATATGTCAGCAACAGGGCCATTTTCATAAGGTGTTGAGCTCCAATCTCATAAAGTATTTAAAGTATTGGAAAAGCAATGTTTAAAAGACCAGTCAGAAGGCCTACAAAGTCAACTTTCATGAACTCCCAGTAAAATGGGTATAAGATTCTTGTTATGGAATTCTCTTCTGTGGGAGATCTGACTATTCTCCACCTCTTCTCTCTTTTTAGTTTTGTTTAGGTGGGTTTTTGCTATTCTGTTTCTTATGCTGCTTCCAATTTATTTGTAACAACTTCCAGGAAAAATGTGTTGCAGAAAACAATAACAACAAGTTTTGAAGCTTGTTAAAAAGTAACATAATCAATCTTTATAGTATAACAAGAATTTTGTTAGTTTTACTTGTTGCACTTTGTCTTTTTAGTTTAATATTATGCTGTGTTCTTGAATATTAGTAACAACCCTGAATGCTATTTTACAGTGAAAAGGCAGAATTTAGTTATATCAATGAATAGTGCATTCAGATTACAGGATTAGTCAGTTGCCAATCACACTAGGATTTCAAATTATGCCCTGACTTTAATCAACAGGTGAGACGTGTGTGACAACTGTCGTTTAATTCGTAAATTATAAATAGAACAGTACCTGTCCATCTGGACTCCCAGTTTCCAATTCCCAATATTTAGACTATGGATTGGGCTGAACTAAGGCCAACTTTAATTTCAGTTTGTCCAGTATATTAGAAATCATATTTGACTATTTGGGGCATTCTTGGGGGACAAATATTTAGTTTCCTATCTCAGACAGAATAAATGTATTTAAGACTAAAACCTAATGGACTGGATTCCATCCTACGTATGTGTAGAGCAAGCAGTCTTACTTAAAGCAATAACAAGCCACATAAGATTAAAATCCCACTGACTGCTATGAGCCTACTCTTGGTATGCTTAAATCTGGATCCAATATAATATCTATAGAGTTCTAATGTTAAAAAATCAGAATAGCTACATGGCCATCAGTAGTAACAAAATTTGAGAGTGGGTAATATTTTTACTGGGTAATTTAAAAGTTACAAACATGACTAGTCCTCCAGAACTGTTGTTTATGCATCAGTATTATGGGGAAGAAGCAACGAGTTCCCCAAATCTGGTTAAAAGGAACACCCGTTGTTCTTGAAGTCAAATTACTACTAAGGGCAGTTTTCAGACTGAAAAATGTACAACAGTGGTGTCTGGTGATCAATTTATAGTGTCCCCTTTCGAGATGGACTAAAGTTCAGTTTTAATTAGTGAATGCAGTATTTTCTTTATAATATAGAATATCCCAATTCCAACACTGAAAGAGTTTGCAAAAGCATTGGAAACCAATAAACATGTGAAGAAATTCAGCCTGGCAGCTACTCGGAGCAATGATCCTGTTGCAATCGTAAGTTGAACAATCTATTTTTAGGGGGAAAATATGTTTCACACTCTGGAAGAATGCAGAAGCAAGCATCTGGAGTCACACACCTTCATCTTTGACTTATTTCCAGATAACATCTGAAGCCTCTAGTTACGTCACTGTCTTCTTAAAATCAGCTTTTGTTTTTATTTGTATAATTCTTCAAATATTATGTATCTCAGCATTAAAATATAATGTCAATGCACAACATAAGCCAATAATATAATAACAACACCAAGAAGAAATAAAAATAGGGTAGAGAAAAACAGTATATATAGCTGTTGCATTTATTTGAGCACAAGCTGTTCTTAAACATGTAGTGACCCATTTTTTGTTCTGTGAAATATGTAAGTATGTGATCATGAGACAAACACTCTTCAAGGTAGTCCTAGTGAATTCCTAGCTAAGTAGCCCACAGAAGGAGTGGAACTATACTCTGTATTTATGCATATATGTTGATTTGTGTATCAGAGATTATCTTGAGATCTTAACTCACACCACTCTTTTCAACCTTTTAGGCTTTTGCAGATATGTTAAAAGTGAATAAGACACTGACAAGTCTAAATATAGAATCCAATTTCATTACTGGGGCTGGCATCCTTGCTTTGGTTGATGCTCTGAAAGGGAATGAAACACTGACAGAGATCAAAATTGATAATCAGGTAAGGAAAGGGGGCTAGGGTACTACGAAGTACTGGCTTGACACATTAAAATGTGTTGCTGCACACTAGGCAATGAAACTCTCTGGGCAGAAGTTGAATTGGTAAAAAAAGACTTGTGCTTCTCCTCAGTACTTAACAATTGGAGATCATAATAGCCCCTCATTGGGAATATGTAAAGAAACAATATTCCTCAGTTATTATTTAGTTTTCATGTTCAGAACTCTGTTGCTGGATGAGACCAGAAATTCCATCTAATCTCCCAAATGGGCCAACCAGAGAAATGAACAATAAGAAAGCTCTGTCTTGGAGTGTTTACTCTCTGGTGGTTCAGTCATAAATGAGGGGCTGTGGGGAGGCTGTATCAAGGGGCTGAGCATTTGCCTGACCCTATGCACCCTCTTTGAGGGAGACTAAATCATAAGAGTGTATCTGGGACTTGAAGGCAGACTGGCCATCTTGACTTCCTAGGCTTGGTCCCTAGTATGTCTTTCTATCTGTCAGGCTTGCTTTCCTGTTTGATATTATGTATTTATTTACTGATGTTGTGTATATCAGCCAGCCCCCCTTCTCCCTTCTCTCTTTTCGGATTAACATTTCATCCTCATTCCTTTTCTTAGAGGCAACAGCTTGGCACAGCAGTCGAGATGGAGATTGCTCAGATGCTGGAGGAGAACTCAAAGATCCTCAAATTTGGGTACCAGTTTACAAAACAAGGCCCAAGAACCAGGGTAGCAGCAGCCATCACAAAAAACAATGACCTAGGTATGACTTTTTCAAACCACTCTGAGGCTTTAAAAATTATTTTCCAGTATTTCATTAGTCACAGGGTCAAGACAGATTTTACTGTGAGCCTATCATTAGAAGCAGAGTTCATGTAAATGGTAAAAATTATGTGTTTTATTCCATTGAAAGTATTCTTAGCTATGCAAGTTGATTTTTTGTGTGGCAATTAGTCATTGTGGGTAACCACAGGCTTCATTTGCAAGATGCAGCTGTGAAAGAATTCATCTCTAAAGGGATAATGATTTAACATCCTTTATTTATTACAAAGCTAGTGTCTGGGTTAGCTCTCAGTGAGAACAATGTTATTAGCAGGATGAGCAGGATGGTGCTAATGAAGTACTTTTTTATTCAAAGTTACCACCACTTTGTGTAAGTGTGGAAACACTGCACCAGCTAGATCCACAGTTCAGACAAAAGAAACACCATTAAGGAAAGGTATTTTATGTGCTTTGCTTGGTCTACAGAAAAATGTCATGTATTTAATGGCTACAGCCAGTAATGACGGTCAATGTGTATAGCCTGAAGATACAGTGTAGAAATAGGTGGCTCGAGCTGGAGTGACAGGAATACTCCTCTTACTAACTGTGGGAGACATTTATTATTTGAAGGGAAGACCAGATGAGTTTGTGTGTAATGATGATTGTCTTGGCAGTTTGATGGCATGCAATATATAAATCACACAGCCCTTTATACAGACCCGCTGGGGAGACTCTCGTCTGTGTCCTTCCATGGAGAACAGCTAATTACAGGGAGACATGGGAAGAGCATTTTCCATTGTAGAACTCCAACTGTGGAGGCTCAACTGGTGCTAACACTGGCATCATTTTGGTCCCAAGCGAAAACATTATGGACTAGAACTTTTGGTCTTCGAAGATCATAGCCCGTACAGGTTTTGCCATGGTTTTAATTTTGTGCTTTAAGCTGTTTGATTTTAAATTGTTTTAAGCATCTTATGTTTTAAAATCATTTTATACTGCTCTGTATAACCCACTCTGGGATCCTGTGATATTGCATGGGGAGGGCTATAAATGCTTTAAATAAATATATGAATAATTACTGCTCCCCAAAATCTCTAGAAGACACAAGGGATCTTTTTAAAACAGTATCAGCAAGACAACTGTTTATTAACTGCCCTTAAAAATGATCCAAAACTAGAAAAATACATATTGATACCAAGCTGTGCTTCCTCTCCCATACCCCTCTCTCTCCTTTTTCTCTTTTTCTAGTTCGCAAGAAGCGAGTGGAAGGAGAACGCTACTAACCTTGCCTCTGAGGATGCAAACAGCCTCCCTGTCAAACAGAGCTGTTCCATCAGCAGCCTGAGAAAATTCACTGGTCTTAAGGGAAGACACTGGAAAGTCTTTAGCAAGAGGCTACTCATATTCCGTTACCCTAACTCTTTCTTTCCTCTGTCTTCCCCCACTTCTTTAAACAAAATGAATCATTCTGATGTTTTCTATTTAAAAAGAAATAATATTGATTTAATGATGTAAAGCCAGTGCATATACCATATATGCCAATTTGGCTTTTATGTGAAACCACTATGAGTCTTCCTTTAACATCCCCTGCCCCCTTGTTTGTTTTCAAAGATAGAGGAAAACAAATAGGATCCTTTTCTGTCAGGTCTTGCTAATGAGGGTTGGCCTTTCTCTGCTTTGCTAAATCTTACCAGCATAGCTAGGAGCAGTCCACACATAGGGAATTTTGCAGTCCAGTGCAACACCCTTTGTTTTCATCTCAGCCATCTATAAACACAGCTCCAAATTCAGGTTCCTCTGAATTCTGAGGCAGGCAAGGCCTGCCCACAACATAGTACTTGATGAGCAAAAATCAAATGTTGCTCCTGCCTGCCACTAATTAACGAAGGCCAAAACCCATTAGAAAAACCTCTTGCACATACTTCATTGAAACAAACAGTAGCGGTCTAGTGGGTTATCACTCCTGAAATCTATCACTTCATCTTGCCTCGTGGCAACTAGGCTAAATCTGGCTCAATGCAGACCACTGTTTACTCTAGGGGTGGCTGTTGTGCAAACTGTAGAGTTGAAAGAGACCAAGAGATCATTTCAAAGCAGCCTCCCATATCAAGGGAGCAACATTCTTCCACCAGCATTCCTAGAACAAAGCGATCAAGCTTTGAAATAAATACTTCAAATGTGCCATAAGCAGATAGCAGGGAGGGGGGAATCAGTGACTAACTCAGCAAAGTGCTTAAGATGAATCAGAGTGGCTTCCCTCAGACAGTAAACCAAAACATGGTTTGTGCACATGACCTGCTGCAGAAACCAGTTTCAGATTGCAGCTTGATTCTGGATTGCCAACCAGTTGCAACCCACTGATTCAAACATCAGCCATAACCACAGCTCACTGTGGTCTGGACCAATAGAAGTCAAGCTGCATAAGGGTTATAGGGAGGGCCATAACCATTCTCTCAGCCCAGCCATCATTGCAGGTGGGAATTGGATCCTCAGCCAAAGTATGGTGACTTTGGATCCTGAGTAGAAGCAAATCACCCTTCACCAAGCTCTTCTGAAGGGGAATGGAACCAGCCCATTCTGCTACCACTAATTACCAGTGAACTCATCTGTGCAATCTGGGCTGTATTTGTGAAGGTGATGAGAGCCTCCTTGTTTCAGCCTGTTGGAGTCAGGCTTATCAATTCCCAACCTTGCTATGGAATGCCATGTGATCAACATTAACTTTGCCAAACCTAGAAGAATCTGTTTAAGTCACCTACTTAAGAATATACACGTGTTGTGGTTATTTTTTTTAATGGGAGGACAGGGTTGATACTAAAAGTGATCCAATATGCAGAAATTGCTGGTTTCCCTGCAATTCACTCATTTACTAGAAATTGTGATTTGGTGCATTTATTACAACTATCAGTAACCACTGCCATTCAGCGTTTCTCAAATAGCGGCTGTCAGCCACTTGTCAGCTGTAAGATGAACAGTATTCCTACAAAGCTCTAGCGAGAAGAAGTTCCCCCTTAGTTCAATGGACTTGGACAACCAGCAGAAAAAGCAAGGAGGGAGTTCTGCTTTGGGACCCCTTCAAGAAAGATAGAGTTCTGTCAAGGGGTTCTCTCTCTTTAGAGGCTTTAAGAGCTGCTGCGTTAGGTAAAAGTCATTATTTTTTTGCTAGTAACTATGAAGAGAAGGAAAAGAGACCATCACTGCTTGCTTTATGTAGACACACAGAGGTCTGATGAAGACTCATCGCTTGTCAGGGATGCTAGCCAGTTCAGATATGTGTATCTCTTACAACACATGTGCTTGTAAACGTGGTTCAGCCTTGTTCACTCTTTGCATTTAAAGGGTTCCTTTTGAAAACATTTCATGTGTGTAAGGCACAAAGAAACTGTTAAAAGGACTCAATTGCATAGTTTACATTTTTTTTAATAGAAAAGAGAACATTTTCCAGGTCCAGAATGTAAGAACAAAAGAACAAATTTATTTTTGCTATTTGGAGATTGTGAAAAAGGTTTTAGTTTGTAATATGATTTAGGTCTTTCTGTGCAGAAATTAATTTGTATTTTTTTTCCATTTTCTGTTTCCTCATGTGTATCTGTTCAGTATTGCCTCATTTTTATGTGCAGTTAGGAGCACCAGATTACCTGTATTTGAAAGAACTGCTGATCATTCCAGACCCTACCCCCCCAGTTTCAGAATCTTTCCCTTAAGTTGTACTGCTGCAGCAAAGAGAGAAACCCTGTTCATTGGCAGATTAAAAAAAAACCCCCTGAAAGATTGATTTTAAAATTAGCCAAGTAGCAGATTTACTTAAGGCCAGACTGCTCTTGTGTTTTTAAAGAAAGCTAGCCAGGTGTCCTCTTTTAGGAAAGACAGTCCACTATTTGAAGGGATGCCAAGGCACAATCGTCCATTTGTCCTCTATTTGAATTCTGCAGTCCAAGTATGATTTAAAGATCAAGTAGCAGAAGGGGGATTGGGAACCCTGATGTTCCACATCCATCTGTGCAACAGACTCTGAAGGAAGCCTATGTGTCACCAGTCACAATCTTCCTAACTCAAGTGAGATGCATCATAATTCTACTTACGTTATAGAAGTCATTTCTGTTTTGCATTGGTACATATAAATTGGCAATGCAATTTCCTGCCAATCTGTGTCCCCTTGTCTACTCCTTTTTAGTGATGCATACCTTCCTTTTTGGTGACATGTAAGTGCTTTATGTCCTTTAAATTCACATCTCCCCAGCAGAGTTTTCAGTGGAGTGCTGCATGAAGCATGGAACAAGATGGGCCATGAACATAGCCAGCCACTTTCCTCTAGGCTCGTTTTTGCACTTGCATGGTTCTAATGCAAATGACTGGGAACTACATTCCAGTCATGCAGTAGGGCGGCTGCTTAAACATAATTTAAAAAGGAGAGCATACCATACTACAAAGCAGAACATAAAATTGCATATGTCTGTTTATATGTACTGTAAAGACAGATGGAAAATATAGGAAGTTATAAAATTTGCTTAAATAATGCCTCTCACTTGAGTGCCCAGGTGACCTGTATGCATATGGGCTGCTGAACATGCCATTCAGGCACTACAAATCATTGCTGCTGATCTTCCTCCTTGTGGTTCTTTATTTCTGAATCAAACTTAGACTGGGCAGTCCTTCATATGTTACCCTCAGCCCCACACCATGGCTGCAGCAACAGTGTTGCTCTGAGAGTGGAATTCTTAAATGGATCATGCTGTAGTGTTTCTGGTAAGGCCCCTCAAATTCCAAGGAGGTTGTAAATATAATTGTAATTTCTGTATATATGATGTGGTATTTGCATGTGTTAATGCTGTTGTGACTGACATCTTAGCTGCTTTTTTTTCTCTGTGTGGCAGTTGTTACTATTTTATGTGTCTTTGGGCCCAGGCCATTTGATAAGTATATTGTCCATATGTGAATACACTGTGTAACAGATTTGTTGCCTAACCTAGCCTTGTTCATCTTCTTCTCATTTTAACTGGGTCTCCTATGTTTTTCACTCATGGGAGGCTAAAATGGATAGCTGTAGCATGTAATTGATTAATGAGCTGGATTAAATCATTAGGAATATTCAGACCAATTAATATATGCACCTAACTGATCGATCATTAAGGTTTTAACAATTAGATTATTTTAAAATGTTTGAAACACTGTAGATGATGGCTATCATACAAAACAGACATCCCTCCTGTGTCTAGAAAGGAGGAAATGCCTTCTTCAAGAATAACACATGCCACGATACAAATGTGCATTGTCTTAAATGAAAGAAAGGGCATGTACTGTTTTTATCACATGACGTTGTAATTAATCAACTCAGATTCATACAACAATTTCACTTCTTGGATGACATCCTTAGTAAGGGAACAATCCTAACTAGCCATGATGGCTGATAGTTCTGATGCCAGTTCTTCCCAGCTTAGAAATGTTGGAAATCGCGCAGGACTACAAGTACTGTGATCCAACTTTGTGCTGGCGCAGTGGCTGCGAGTCTGGGCTGGGCTTAGATCTGGTGCAACCGAGCTCTTCTCCACTTACGTCCCCCTTTTTGGCTCTTCTGACTGCCCTCAGCTGGCATGGCTTTGTGTCAGCATCTGAGACTAGCCAGTCCAGGGGGGTGGTCCTGGCACAAGAGAATTCACCCCACTTGCAGCTGGAAAGGTTAGTTTGAACTGCACTGTAAATTGGTAGGTTACCACAGTGAGGTAAAGCTCCTTGGAAAAGCAGTTATTTGGATGCTTATAAATGATCTTAATAATGATTCTACTCTACTCTTTGGTTCTGTCAAAATCTGAGTTACAACGGTTGTGTGACAGCAAGCATTAAATAGTAAAAACTAAGGCAGGCAAGGAATTCCATATCTTTTCCCTCCTAACGTGCTGGTTAAGAAAAAGAAAAGCATTTTAATATAAAGCACTCAAATATAAATTGTCTTGTCTACAATTTGCATCGGAAAAAATCCAGCCATCAGTATAATACTGAGGACTATGTAATTTGATTCTAGGATTTGATGTGTTTTCTACAAGATTTTTTTAAAAAAATTAACAAAAGGCAACTTTCATGGAGCATCTGTCCCATCTACTCATTTCAGCTAAGGTTAGGTGACTGAGCTGGAACCAAACATAAGTAACAGAAGAACACAGCTTTTCTCCATTTCTTTGGACATGTTGGTTCAGACACCATTGACATAACTAGCTTTTATAGGTTGTAACCAACACCTACTGATTTTCAGGAAGTTCTTCTGATGGGCTCTTAATTCACCTTTTATGTGCCAAACTAATTATGGTAATGACACAAAGCCATATCACTCCTGAACAGATATAAAAGGGAGTGGTTAATGTTCTAGATATGTGGTGAAGTATTCATAAGGCCAGTATTCCATATATTCAAATACAGTTAAAAAGTTTAGAGTGCTAACTTCAGCATAGAATAATACACCTGTGAACAGATTCTTTTTAAAATCAAGGTATAATTTTACAGTATATCTAATGAAATGCTTGCTAGAAGGGACAAAAAAAGGGAAGGCTGCAAAAATGCCCAATATATTAATACAGTATATAGCTTTTGAGACTGGAGAATGCGCTCTAGAATTTGTGCAGCTTGTCTGGTAAGAGCTGGCCTTAAGTCTTTGAAAGGGGACATAAAGGTAAACAAAACGAGAATACACGTTTCATAGAAACAGGACAATCCTTCCCCAATTACAGGTAAGCCTTTGGAGAAACACATTCTAATATTTAGTTGAACACCAGCTTAGTTGCTCTAAATATAGCATTCTCCAAAGTTCAGCTTCCAGGTAAATGAGAATGTTTAGAAGAATAATGTGGCATGTCACCCTGGCACATAAATCAGAATGTCCCTCACTGAAAGTATTTGACAAACGTTTGGAGAATAGCTAGTCAGCCTTTTGCACATTGTTAATCTGATTTAAAAAAAAAATCTTTTTAATGAAGTGTTCCCATGAACTGCGTTGGCCATTGTATACCACATTTATGCATTTTTAGATTCCTCACATGACTAAGCACATGTTAAATGCTTGAAGATGTTCAGTTTGGAAACTGAATAATAAACGGTGTTGCATGTTCATAGCTCCACAAGAGAAGAAACTGCTGGTAAATGAAACGTTGACTTCTGATCACTGGTTCATACTTTTGTAAATAAACTTTCCTAACTATCTAGTTTCCCGTGGTTCATTGGTACTAGGAACTCTAGAACTATGCTTTATGGAAGATTCTGCATCCTTCAGGCAGCTCCATAAGAAATGTATGACTGCAAGAAATGAAGATGGTTGCTAACTCAGATGACTTTTAAAAGAAATAAAACAAATATAATGGGGTCTAAATCCATCCGATTTAATGTCTTATTGAAACAGAACAGAAGTTCAAGAACAGAAGTAGTATACCTTTGAATATCAAATACAGAGGACCATCCTGTTTGGGAACCTTCAGATAGAACTGGTCAGTAGTTATTACTGAAAACAGAAAGTGAATGCAAAGAACTTGGTCATGAACAAAGGTTTCTAACCCAGTTCACAGTGCAGTCCTGATCCAATAACTGCATAAACATTACTCTCCAGCTGCTTTTTGAAAACCTCTGAGCTGATAACAGCTCACCCATTCCCCCCCCCACCACGCCAGATGGGCAATTCCTTGGTGCTCACTTCTGTAAATAGAAATATGGCTATGAAAGTCTAAAAGTCATGATGGCTATATAGTACTTCCAGCATCAGAAACAGTAGGTCTCTGACTACACCAGTCCCTTGGGGAACATAAGTACTACTGCCCTCTGGTTCTAGGGGCATGTAGTTGACCTTGTGAGAACAGAATGTTTGCTTTCATAATCTCCAGTCTGATCCAGCAGATTCTTCTTAAATTCTTAAATGTAGTTCACAGCTAACTTTTTAGAGGAGTTTTGCTCCATGAGGTATGGGTGGTGAATCATATCTTTGGCAGGTCACTGCGAAAGAAGGTTGGCTTTTTCAGAGAATGGCCTGCAGGAGTAAAGCAAGTATTTCTGCCCCAGGAATGTTCTGAATGTATGTCTTCCAAAAGAAAAATGTTGCAAAAACAGTTTCCAAAGGTTTGGAGGCCTACATGTAGCCATAGCAATTTAATAAATCTTTAGTCACAAGGCTGCATTATTTTTTCAAACCATTTTTACTGAAAGCAGTCTTTCTACAGCTTAGCTATTTTCCTGTACCACTGCCCTATATAAAAGTATATAAAGATACCATGATCATGACTGCAGAATTCATATTGCAATCTTATGTGTGTCTACTCACTAGTAACTCCAAAAGTTTTTGATTGGAGTCACTCTCTTCTAAGTCTATTTTGGACTACAGTCTTACCTAATTAATTATTGCTTAAAAAGGTGTTCTGGTTGTTAATGGGTTTTTATGCAAGTACATAAGAAAAATTGGGGCTAGCCAGTGTTGCCTTTTTCCCACTTCAGTCATCTATAAAAACAATGCTTTTTGCGTCTGCTGTGACACATACACATATCCCACAAAACAAAGCTCCTATTTTCTTCAAATATATTGTTTTACTTACATGTAAGGAAAATTGATTTGAAAAACATTTTGGATTCAAACCTCTATCATTACTCAGCTAATATTTATTTAACTCTGTGGTAGTCCTATTTATAATATCTGCCTTTTATGACCAAAGCTGTCACTTGAAGGACAAATCAGGATATTTTCCAGTCATGCAGTTGCACCTAAGATTTGATTTTTACAAAATTTCAGAAATAAAATAGCTCTTTTACATTAATATAAAGAAAAATGATGGTTTTAACATTTATGTCTGCCATGAAATTGCTTTAATCAAAACATATCACTTTCCTTGACTTACTCTGAGAAGCAGAATAACTGAGCAAAAAAAGGCCATTCTTTCTCCTTTGATGTGTACATTAATCTTCTCTAATAGTTTCTTCCTGAAAATTCTTGGTTGTTCCAGTGCGGTGCAATTTTCTCCATTACCTTCTATAACTGTCTACCTGCCCTTTTGTTAAAAATCAATTTCTGTTGGCAAGAAGAATGCTTTATGTTGTTTTTGGTTAAGCTACTATCATAGTAATCTAGTGGCTTTGTTTAGCTCCATCCTAAAAACACAAATAAAAACTGGCTTTTTTAAAACAGTTTCTTTCCCCATATGACAAAGTACTGACGTAACCTCCTTCCCCGTTTACTTCATGTTTTTTAAGAAGACAGCTGAAATGGGTACACAGATTAAATGCATGTTATGGTACCAATCCTGGCTACCTAAGAATTCTTTTCATCTTTAGCTGTAGAAGAAGAAAGATCTCAAGTATTAGCTGTACAAAAGAACATCTCACAAGAAACGTAGACAGTAGTGAGCTTGATGGACCAGTGCTCTGGCTCAGAATGTCCTAAATTTACTACCTCTTCTGCCCTACTTAGATGGTGTCCCTGCTCTGTCTCGGGCCACTGCCATGTAAGCAACTGTTTGGATTGTTTGTGGTACTGGACCACTTTCTGATTATATATAGCAGATTAAAACAGTAGCATCTAAACATTTGTATCCTTGTTCCTTTCAGAAGCGCATATGAATACAAACAAAAGAATAGCAGTGTAGATTAATGAGGGTCTGTCTGCACACACGCGCACACACACACACACCACTCCCTAGCAAATGTTCAAACTATTTGGCCTGAAGAGACCTAGTTTAAGTGTTAATCTTATCATTTTTAGATTGTAAACTAGTAGCAGACTATATTGGCTTCTTTTTAATTTCTGCATAGCACCTAATGATACAAAGTGCTTTAGAAATAGAATTCAAATATTTATGCTATTTTAAAATGATTTTTAAAAAATTGCTTTAAGCTGCCTGGGAGTACACGTGTGGTGTAGTAGCTAGAGTGATGGACTATGACTCAAGAGACCTGTATTTGAATCCCAACTCAGTCATGGAAACTTGGCAGGGGTGTGGTGCAAGTGCACAGGTGAAAAAACACTCCTCAAACATCACATTTGCCTTGAAACTGCTATTAGGATGGCTATAAGCCAGATGTAACTTGACAGCTTGTAACACATCGAAGCTGAAGGTAGGAACGCTTAGGTGCAAAATATACACAAATTTTAAAATATACTATCTTGCTTTGATATTTTCTGGCCATAGGTTATTATGTCAGCTTTGAAATGTAGGTACAGCTTTTTCAGGTGGACAGGACAAGCAGCTCACGGTATAGGGATCACAACACAAACTGCTTCAAAGATTGATCAAATATAACACTTGCCTGTTTTTCCTGCAGTAGCACCACCAGGCCAGTGAGAAGCATATCGTTAAGAAACAGAATGAATGAACAAATGCAAGGGAAAGACGTGCATTTATGTGAAGAGGGGGCTAAAAAGAGTGGTTGGGCAGAAACTTTGATCAGCATGAAACAACATTCAATACAATTAAATGCAGGACAACAAAAAACCAAGGAGAGACTGTACAGTGGCTATAACATCATACTTCGGTCCTCCTCAATGCTTCATCTTGAACATCTTGCTCAGTGCAGATCAACAGAATATTACACATGAATAACTACGGTATGTCATAGCAAATTCTATTAGTGATCATCTATATCCATTTGGTAATACCAGACAGAGTAAGCCCACTGAATGAAGTACTAAATGGTGAGTCCACTCATATGCAAGTCCCATTGATTCTTTGGGTCTAGTGGGGACCACCAACTGGATTCAGGCTCTCTAACAATATTCTGTAATGCAATGCCCAGTACTGTACATAGTATGTCTACATTTGCAGTTTTAGATACTAACCTATTGCACTGGGAATGTTCAGAGTAATCCTTTGCACTGTAGAAGGCCGGCTGCAGCCCAGGTTTATGATTATGGCTTTTATGTCTACCTCTTTAATTTCTTCTTGTCAATCTGCCTTCCCATTTGCATCACCAACTACAGTGAACATAGTTTAGAAGTGAAAGACAAACATGACGCGCACAAGCATCTACAATACTGTACAATACTGTACAGTAATTCAATTTATACATCTTGTGTAATCTTTGTCCACTCCCCACTAGGGGGAGTAACATCACTTTAATAGCTAATATACAGTACTTAATAACACAGATGTCCAGAACAAAGGGTTATTGATCTGGAAGAAGCAGCTGAATCCAGTGGAAGTACAGTATATCATTGGATTCTGCTAGATAAGAATATTAATTTCTAGCATCTGAATAGCAAGTAAGAAGCATATTTTTGAGCAACAGATCTGAAGTCCATTTTCTGCTGACTAGTGTCTTTATATATTTACAAGTATTTAGTTAAAACAAAGGCCCTCACCCTTTTAGCTAAAAGTCTACTTTCAGGATAGCCTAGTTCCACGTTGCCTCTCTCTAAATAAACCTTTGATTCATATCTGACCTAAACAAAGTCTTTTTGGTTTGTTAACAAGAATTTTTATCAGACATTGGGAACAACTGTTCTGTTTAAACAGTGATCACATGGGTGAGAGATATTGCATTTCTAACACAAATACCAAGCTCAGCATTTTTTTTCTGACAGGGAAAAATCTTTGAAAAACTGCCTGTCAGACTTTACACAGCCATATCTCTAGATCATAGGACTTTTTAAGGTTAAACATTATGTGAATGCACAGCAAAAGGATCCAGATCCAGATCTACATTCAGTACATTTCCCACCTTCATTTACCAAGTATACTGCTCACATCACTGTCAGAGTCATTCAATCCATTCATCTTCTCTACCAGTTTTGCCAGCATAGTACACACACCAGAGTAGTGGGGGCAAGTCTCAAACATGTGCCATTGACAGTTACAACTTTTTTTTATGTTATTGCCTCTGCCATGTTATTACCAATCATTAGGGTCTTTACATCAGTTTTTGAAGAACAGAGTCATGTTTGATACCAGTTCAGGCCAATTTCTCCACAAACACAATGTATTTTATTTTGTACTGCTGATCTAGAAATCTCAGCAATGTCTAATTCCTTCCTCAACCTAAAACTCCTTCCCCTGCTAAATAAGCAGCAAATATAATTTAGTCACTAGACTCCAGTGGCTAAGAGGCTGAACGAGAAGTTAGGAAATCGCTCTGCTATGAAGTGCTTAAGTAGCTTAGGAAAATCATTGTATCCTCACTTCTCTTTGGTAGTACAGTATTGGAAAAAAATACAAGATAGTGCAAGTGAAATGCTTTGGATTCTTGAAAGCACTTACTTCCACATGATTACTAATTAAAAGAACATGTTCTCCTTATAGCAGAGATTAATGATATATTCTGCATGCCATTGTGATTTTTCCTTCTATTTTTAGCTACCTTTATTGTTATTGTTGTTCTAAGGATATCCCAAGAACATTTACTCTATATTTACGGCATAGTCATGAAATTAATTCACCATATAACCATATACCAGAAGCTTTGGGGAAGAAGCACAAAGACAGGGAGAGAGAGAAATGCACCCAGAACATCAAGATATGATGTTGTCATGACAACAGAGAATTTTACTCAGTCCTTCTGTATTATTCAAACACCAGAGCACTTAATTAAAGTGCCAGTTCCTTTTGCTCCATTTTCTCAGCCTTAATATTGATGTAACAGTTTATTTTTGAGCTACCTCAGTCTTTTTCTCTCTCCAAGAAGTGGCTAAGCTTGGGAGAGATGCTTGGTGTACAAGATATATTCTTTATGAGAGAGTGTAAGTTTACATGCACTGGACAGTGTAAACTGGCTTAACAGCCAGTTAGTCTCTACAAGGACTGTTGGGAAATATAGCTGTATGTGGAAACTAGGTGAACCTTAGATCTAGATTTATGAGAAGGGAAGAAAATGAGTGTCTGCAGGCTCATTTAAAGGTATCCACAGCCTTTCCTACGGTGTACTCCAGCTTTCATCATGGTAAGCAAGAATAGTGGACAGTAGTGGATCAAGGGAGCTGAAACCAAAACAGGGAGTATATCACACTGGAGAAACTATTAACACACCCATACGTACTTCATCACAAGTAGTTTTCTTACTGTAAGAGGAGTTCACAGTAAGCAATGCAAACTAGGACATGAATTTGAAAATACAATCATTATACTGGTTAAGTGTCTAATTTAATAATCAGATTTAAAAATAAGTTGTGGACTTGACACATTTTGATTTTAAACTTCACTTTGAGGTTTGAAGGAGCAGGAGAGATTTTTTTTTCCATAGAGGCATTCCTGGCTATACTACCAATATGACTTAAAACACCTTCTTTAAGCTATTCAGTTTATAGTCTGACTCTAGGATATCAGCCGCCTAGAGTGGTCCTTAGTTGACCAAATAGGCGGGATATAAATAAAATAAATACATAAATAAACTGTTGTATACTTTTCACAGTGGTCTTGGAACAGAGCATGGAAATGTTGGGATTAATTATTGTACATGGAGACAGAGTACAGATGGCATCAGCTTAGCAGTGACTTACTCAAATACTCCATTGAGAGGATTTCCAGTCTCACAAACAGCAGTGTATCCTTTTAGCACTGTGATACAAAGTGTTTTGGTCAACAGAGAAGTTGCAGCTTTCAGAAACAGTAAACAAATACAGAATAAGAATGTCCTGTTTAGGACATTGTGAAATAAACAATCTAATAATAAGAAATATTTTGCATTCCAGACTAATTTAAAAATATTTCTTGGACTGTATACTGGCAAATCGCAGTTATAAATATAAGATGGAGGCTAAAAATAACATAACAAGCATTGTAATGTCATCATATCTCAATGGTGCAGCCATACTTAATATAGTCTGTGGTTCTGGCAACCCCATGTCAAAAAGGACTTTTATAGCTAGATACTGTAGTGTGAAAATTATTTCTTTAAACTGCTTAAACTCTGTTATTTAGTACATTCAGGAACATTTTATTTTTAGTTTTCCTTGGGGAAAGAAATCAGCTAAACCAGAAGCTGCTTGTAATTCTCATTTGATCAGTTTCACCCCTCCATGGATTTACAGGGAACTAAGGGAACTAGCTACAATTAGCAATTAGGAAACATCTGCCACACCACCAGTTCCCCTGCTCTTCTGTTATGCTTGCATAATATAATAATGTTATATTGCTCCTATTCTACTAAGTCACTTCTCCAAATTTATGAAGAACAGAAATGAATACATACGTATATATCAGGGCAACTGAAGAAGATGAAAGCTCAAATATTTTGCTTAAATATCTATTTGTAAATCAGGGAGCAGAAATTCTATTATCTTGCTTTGAATTTTGATTTTGTTTATCTGCTCAGCACAAACAATGAAAACTATGCTTTGTCACACATGTATTTTTGTAAGAATTGTTTCTGTGACACAGCCCTGTATCCAGACTTCCTTAACACCTTCCCCTTCTGATTACATGCAAGACTGTTATTTCAAACCTGCATGATAGAGCAGATCACTTAATTCTCACGGGTTTGCCATGTCTTCATTTATTTGCTCTACTTAATGAATATTCCACACCTCATGACAAAGATATAATAATCCACCATATTGTATTATGACTAAAACAGAAGTAACCAATTCAGTGTGCAGGCAAATGTTATCAAGCAAAATGCTAATGCCTGACTTTCAAAAAAAAAAGAAAAGAAAAAAAAGCAAGATTCTTTCAGAGCCATCTCACAGTGGGAAAAGGATTAGAAAATTCTTCACAACCCAAATCTGCTCCCACCCTACATAATAGCTATTTTAAAAAAATGGAGTTTGCCTGTCCTAGACACATGCAGACCAATCCTACATCTGCAGTAGGATCTTCCCTACTGACAGGGCTCTTGTAGCTCTGGCATGGCATTGCACATTACATTGCTTTAAATCTTCTAGATGCAAAACATTGGTATTATTCACTTAAACTGAAAGGATACCATCACTAAAAGCAGTACATGGCAATACCAAATTAAAACTGGATGAGGAATCCACGATGTCAGTCATCTAGCTCTGTATTTCAAGCCCTCCACTGCCTGGCTGCATTTCTCAGGATATCTGTTTTCTATCATGGTTGCCAATTACACCCTCCCCTCTCCAGCCCCAGTTTATCATCCCCTCTAAATGTACCTTGGTATTACAGACAAAAACATCAAGGCTGAATGAAAATCATGAGCTGAATCAAGGCAAGAGCAAACTGTATATTGTGTTAACTGGCTGAATGCAAACCTATGCCAAACATTAATTTACATACTGTTTGGGCCTAGAGGGTTCTGTGTTGCTGCACAAAATTGGGAATGTTACTGTGCGTTTAGAACCAGCAAACATGTAGCAGCAAAACTGGATGCTGGGCCATTTAGTGAGAGTATATGGAGGTTGTGAATTTATTCTTTCATTTTCACAGACCTGAGCCTCTCCAGCTTCCTCCTCCCCAACTCCTCCTTCCTGTTTCTGCAGCTCTGCCTTGTCCTTCAACCACTAAACATCTCCATCTTCTTAGATGTGGGTGAATCAAGGCCAGAAGGGTTGTGCTGTCTTTGGTCCCACAAGCCTAATTAGAAAGGCTTTGAGTGTGCCCAGCATAACAGTTGATGCATTGGATAGGGATGCAAAGACCTGAGTTCAAATCTCCATTCAGCCAGCTGAGTTTCAACTCGTCAGGCTCTCATTCTGACCACATGGGATTGTTGTGAGGATGCAGTCCACATTTTACGCCTTGAGCTCACTGCAGGGAAGCAAGGATACCAAGCAGGGTTGGTCCATGTGAGCAGTTCCAGCGTCGTTTTCTGACACCAATATCTGTGGCATTTGCACCCACAAATAAGGAGCTTCCACCGTCAGGGTTCAAAGAAGGCAACCTTTTCTTGGAGTCAAGGAGGGGTGTCTGCCAGTTGTTTCTCAGTTGCACTGCATTTCTCTGGAGATGTGTATGTGCCTGTGG